GCAATCTGATTCGGCGAGCGGTCATAACTCATAATCACAGAGCTTTGGATGGTTTATCACAATGGAATCACGCCGTTTCTTGCAACAAACCATTTTTCCCGCAAGAACATATCTTGCACTGCAATGTCAGTTTCACGCAAGCAGAAGCATAAGCAAGCACAAAATGCACAATGTGATATCCGTAGCGGGAGGATCAGGTGGGCATCCGCATCCAAGAAAAGAAACATGTTCATAGCATCGATTTTTTTTACCATGTCTTGCTCCAATGTTATTTCATGATGAAATTTTGCATGCACAACAAATATATTTTTAAATATGTCGCAAACAAAATTCAGATTTTTCTAAAATATTTTTCTATGTTATTTATTTTACTGTTCATACCAGAAGCATTTGAGCCCAGGCATAAAAACTCCAAATTCGCCAGGAAGATATTTGCACGGGCTCTAGGGAAAAAGAAAACGGAATCATTGGAGAACTACGGCTCGATGGACACCGACACCTGTTGCGTTAGGACCAGCTGGACCCTGCTTTTGGCGTAAAAAGGCCATGCTTGGCCAAAAGTGGCACTACCCGGAGCAATATCATTCGGCGAGCGGTCATAACTCGTAATTATAGAGCTTTGGATGGTTTATCACAATGAAATTACGCTGTTCCCCGCAACAACCGTTTTTCTGCAAGAACATATCCTCCACTGCAATGTCAGTTTCACACAGGCAGAAGCATAAGCAGGCACAAATGAACGATGTGATCTGTGATCTCCGTAGCAAGAAACTGCGGAGAATAAGCAGGCACAATGGAATCACGCCGTTTCCTGCAAGAACAACCATTTTCCCTGCACTGCAATGTCAGTTTCACTCAGGCACAGTGGCGAGTCCAGTAGGTGGGCTTCATAGGGCTCGAGCCTACCCTTTAAAAATATGATTATTTTTTTAATATACTACTATTCTTCTCTGTTTAGCCTATCAGCACAACAACAGGCAACAGCCCACACGCAGGACTGCCCAACCAAAGCAACGAAGCACGTAATACACGCATCCAGGCTTCCAGGCACGCCGCACGCACTGCTCACGCTCCAGGTCCAGGGCTCCAGACCTAGCGTTGGTCAGTGTTGGGGCGGCCGGCGGCGGACCACACTTGCAGAAAAATTCCAGTAAATACTAGTACATGTTTTCAGTAGTATTATGCGAAAGTTTGAACATATTTGGAGAAGGAGATTGTAGTCTTTACTGGAATTTTCCATAAATACTACTGTAACATTGTCCCAAGGCTATTTAGCTAGGAAGGTTCAAAATTTAATGTTTTCCATAAATTTCAGAAAAATCCCAGTGAATACTACATGTCTCTAGTAGTAATCTGGGAAAATCTTAGATTATTTGGACAAAAGAATAAGGAGATGATGTTGTTTTTCTTCAAGCGATCATTTCATTTTTTTTTCACTGTTAACTTTGAGCCCACCCTCCAATTTCGTCCTGGATTCGCCACTGCTCAGGCAGAAGCATAAGCAAGCACAGATGCACGATGTGATCTGCGTAGGGGAAGAATAAGGTGGGCATCCGCACCCAAGAAAAGAAACATCTTCATAGCATCGTTTTTTTTTTACCATGCCTTTCTCTAATGTCATTCTTGATGAAATTTTGCATGCACAACAAACATTTTTTTAAATATGTCACAAACAAAATTCAGAATTTTTTAAAATGTTTTTCTATGTTATTTATTTTACTGTTCACATCAGGAGCATTTGAGCTCAGGCATAGAAACTCCACATTCGCCATGAAGATATTTGCACGGGCTCTAGCCACTAGGGAAAAAGAAAACGTAAACATTGGATAACTACGGCTCGATGGGCACTGACACCTGTTGCGTTCGGACCAACTGGACCCTTGCTCTTTCTTGCTGTAAAAAAAAAGGCCATGCTTGGCCAAAAGTGGCACTACTCGAAGCAATCTGATTCGGCGAGCGGTCGTAACTCGTAATCACATAGCTTGGGACGGTTTATCACAATGAAATCACAGCGTTTCCAGCAACAACAACCATTTCTCCTGCAAGAACATATCGCAATGTCAGTTTCACTCAGGCAGAAGCATAAGCAAACACGAATGCGCGATGTGATCTCCGTAGCGGGACGATAAGGTGGGCATCCGCACCGAGCTAAGAAAAGAAACCACGCAGATGCCACATCGTCGTAATGCACGTTGCTGTCGCCCGTGACCCGTCGAAATCCGGGGACCTTCTGCCCAAAATATCGGACCCATGCATGCATGCATGGTTTCAGGCCATCTCCTCGCGCGCCGGGGCTGCGACCTGCGCTGTGCGCTGGTCCTCCTCCGGCGACGAGTTCCGCGAACCTGCATGGTTTCCGGCGCTGTGTCCGTGTCCAGTAGGGTAGCTAGGGCTCGTGCGCCGCGAACTCGGCAGCCTCCAGCTAGTCGCCGTGCGCCCGTGTGGGACTGGCTAGAGACATGGACCCATGGTGCACCCAGTGGGCTGGCTGCACTGGTGGGCACCGGCGGCTGTTTGGTCTTTTATTATCGGCCAGCGACGGCTAACTCGCCGGTCACTGGCGTCCCGATCCATCCATGGATTCATTCCCACGAGCTTGTGGTACTAATCATCAAATCGGTTGGTGCATTCCTACCGACGTTCTCTCCCAGCTGAAACGCGTCTGGGACTGCACCAAACCGGCGAAAAGGAAAGGCCGTCAAGTCTACAGGGTCCTGACACTTTCTCCGCACACGTTTGAATCCTGGTAAGTGACCACTAACCACTCACTCAGGGTTTGGTCTAAAACCAGGTCACGCCGGCCGCAAGGACCAGCTAACAGTAACAGGACATGAACGAGGCCATCTTTGTGCTGATCCAGAAACAACCCTGCCTCGAATCGTGCATGCGCTGACGTGGCAATAGTGGATTAGTTTAAGGCGTCGCAGCGCCTGAGACTGACACAGCATCCTCGAACACAGGCACCCTGAGTGACACATCACTAAGCACAGGACAATTATCGCGGACGATTAATTACTGGATCCGGTACAGTGATCAACATCTGGCCAAGCTGCAGAGGCAAGGAAAAACAAAAAGGCCGCTGCACGACACGAGAAAGCCAGTGTCGGCGCGCGCGCGCGCCCTGGTCAGACGCCGCGGCCCCGTCGCCGGGAGAAAGGCCCGTCCGTCCGTGGCCCCGCCGCCGGAAATGGCGGTGACGCGACGCGACGCGCGCGCCGGCGATTTGTTTAAGCGCGGGAGCCGTTTTCCCCTTGCTCCGGGGCCGACGTGGTGCCGGACGTGGCAGGCTCGCCGGGGTCTCCACGGGACACGCAGCCGGCGCGTAGCGGATCCCTCCCCGCCGCGTGTCCCCGCTGCTCCGTGACTTCGATCGCCGCCACGTCCTCGCGCTTGGGCTCTGGGTTTGAATATTGTATTGGGAGAATGGTTTTGCTTTCTCGTGGATGGCGATGCTAGTAATCGATGTGGTCGAGACAGGCGGAGGGAAATGCTGTTAATGTTGGTGGAGAGATTCTTGTAGATAGATAGATAGATGATGAAGGTCAGAACTTGTTCCGGCCACGAGCCACCCACGTGAACATATACGCGACGCTATCGTGCGCGAGTTTTCCTTCTGCAACCCATGTTTAGTTCCAAAAGAAAAATCGAGGGCTGATCTTCTCATGTGTGCGTGTTTCATTTTTTTCAAAAAAAACGACGTGTGGACGCGTGTTCATGTCGCCTTATTTTTCGAACAATCTTCGCTCCGGTGCCACGAACCAAGGGCGGAGTGGTGCTGAAGCGTTGTCGGGAATAATGAATATGATGTCCGAAAACGTACACGTTTCACTTTCACCCACTGCCACTGGCTAGTGAGTGAGCGAGTTGGTGCGTTGATCGTTTCACTTTCACCCTTCGTTTCTTTCTCCGGAGGACGGGAGAAGAGCGCGCACCGTGCGAAATGAATAGGACTGCCTACGCATGGCAGGCATATGGTCCCAGGCTCCTAGTACTAGCTAGCCTAGTACAATAGCCACCGCACAACGCACGTACTGCCCACGTGCGCGCCCGCCCGGGACGTGTGCCCCAGTTCTGATTGTTTTGTTTTTTTACGTGCCACACCTCAACACACTCTGCCGGTTATTGACAGTTTTTTATATATAAAAAATGCATGATCTTCTTTCATGTGGTCGTTCTCGCCGCCGTATGTGAGATCGATCCCTTCAAAGACCCACCAATATATATATATTGAAAGTTTAAAACCAACGCTGCTCCTGCAGGAAATGGCCACATGTCCGCAGCAAAAGTTTTTAAAAGCGACACAGTCCATGCGAGTCTGGTCATTGGACACGGCATGATGGGCGCCACCACACCGCACGGGAGACCCACGCCCCAGCCTCACAGCCCATCACCCACCCCACAGGGGCCCCTCACCCGTCCATCCCCATGATCCATACACGCGACGCGAACCCAAAGAGGATAAGACCACAGGACCGACCGACCGACCGACCGGAACGGAATCCGGGGAAAAAGCCATGTGGGAGCCGGGGAGTGGGCAGCCCCACCGCTTTTCGTGTCACCCTGATTAAACCCCGGGCCGTGCCGCGGTGACTCACCGCCACCGGCGCGGCCACGGTGGTGACCGCGGTGCGCGCGCATCGGCAGCGAATCGCGCACGCTAAGCCGGCGCGGTGTCGGTCAAACGGAACCAAACCATACCACGCGCGTCCGGACGAAAGCGGGCGGACACGCACCGGGCACCGGCGCGCCACGCTATCCGCTCCAGCCCCGCTCTCGGCGCGACCGGACCGGCACGAACCGGCCGCGCGTGCTGTGCTTCCCTGCCCTATATATGCGCGCGCCACCCCGCCGGGTCTCCAAAGGCCAACGACCACAGCCGCACTCGCAGGGGCCAACCACTGCCAGAGCAGAGCGTCTTCGTGCCGTTTGAGCTACGGCGCAGGTCGGGTGATCGGGCGGCGGAAGAGGGACGGGGTTGAGCTCGTTGGTTGTCTGCCGAGATGAGCTACAGGATGATGGGCGAGGAGGAGGAGGAGGCCTTCGAGGCGTCGTCGTGCGCGTCCTCCGGCGGCGAGTCGGGCGACGAGGGGGACAGGTTCCCGGCCAGCGGGGGCGGCCGCCGCCAGTCCGCGCCGCCGCAGGCGCCGCTGAGGCGGATGAACTCGGACAGCATCTACGACATGTCCGGCATGACGGCGCACCTCCCGGCCAAGTAAGTAGCAGTACTCCCGACCAACCAACTTATCCGTCGACGACGAACGGCGACTAACGATGTGGCTGCGCAGGAAGGGGCTGTCGGCGTACTACCAGGGCAAGTCGCAGTCGTTCGCGTGCATGGCGGAGGTGCGGTGCCTGGAGGACCTGCAGAAGAAGGAGAAGCCGCGCGGGCACAAGATGAAGCCCTGCAAGAGCTACGCCGCGCTGGGGGGCGTGGCCATGGCCAGGAAGCCGCCGGGCTCCTCCTGCGCCAACCTCGGCCTCATGGACGCGGGCAACGGCTTCATGGCGCCCCGGAACATCCCCGTCAACGACGACTGCTACCATCAGTAGGTTCAGGGTCTATTTCTCGGGTCATCAGGCCTCTTAAAATGTTCATCGTCTTCTTCTCCGTTTATGCTCTTCTTCTCCTCGTCCTTCCGCGGGAGCTCTGCTGTTTGTTTGCAGGCGCATTAGTCTGCGAATGATTCATGAGAGCAACTTCTGTGTTCGTGTAAGGCGGTTGAGATAGATGTTTGTGTTGTAAATACGGAGTTTGTTTGTAACTGTACTGCGAAAACGGGTAGCAGATACGGGAGGTGCGCCGTATTTATCTGCTCCCCATTTTTATCCTGGTAAATACGGAGCTCTCTTTCACTTGGGCTAGCGCAAAGGATACGGGAGGAACTTGGCTGGAGAAAGGGCTTTCGTCTCCGGTTTCTTTTATGTTGGATGATTCAAATTTACAGTGTAGCGCTGCTTCGGGTTTGGAACTTCAGGTAGATTCTGCGATGTTTCAGTGTCTCACTCGTAGCTCCTCACTCATGATAACTCCACGCTGGGGTCACAATTGTTATCAAATTCCGTTTACAAAACAATTATTATCAAAAATTTGTATATTCATAATGAATTATTACACTTCATTCATAGTTTCCATTGTACAAATTGAAATGTTATATGAAATTGAGCATGAGGTCATCAATCGGGCACAATCCTCCTAGGAGCGGCCAAGGGTAATGCGGACGGCCATAGCCTTCTCCATCCCGCATGGGACGACATCCCAGTCCAGAGTTGTCAGAGTCTAATCTGCTCTTCATCATGCCGGAGACCGCCGGACATCGCCGAAAGTGAGTTTGCGGGCGAAGAGGAAGGGAGTGGAGTGGCTAGGGTTTGATCCGTTCAGCGGATCAGGACGAATTTATACGGGGTTAGGTGGGCCAGCGTAGACCAGATCAGAAGTGGCGGATGCACCTGGGCCTCCTCATATCCGCACCAAAATTTGGTTTAGATATAAGGGGTGCCGGTCAATCCGGACGTCTGAGACTGATTTGAGATGCTCGTTTGGATTATGTATGTTTGAGGATACTAGCAAAAGAGGTTGCAGTTGCAATGAGAGAGAAAAATAGCTCATGCCCAATCATGAATCAAGACCTTAATAGATTCACGTTCTTTATTTAAACATCACATCCCATCTATGTTGTAGTTTGTCTTCCATCCCATTCTCGCCTACGATAATCTTAGTGCCTACAGAATCACAATGTGTTTGAATGTTGTCAATCCTAAATCATCTCTCTCTCGGCACAAGATGATAATACTTTCTCCTTGCTAGGTTTGCCAAGGCATGCCTGCGTAGTTATCGAAGGATTCTTTCGTCTCCTATATTGTTTGTCGAGCTGTTCATTTGCAATTGAGATCGGCGCCCGTACGAAGGAAAGACGGATCGCACACTATTGATTAAGGTTTCACTGTAAATAGCATTTTAAAAGTAGTTAATAGATAAAATAATATCATATTCGGATTCTACACATTTTTGTAATCAAATTTCAAATATAACATGTCAAAATAGGAGTTAGGGTGTAGAAGATATGGATATTTCAAAAAGCATGTTTTGTACTTAAAAGTAAACTATGGGTTAATTACCAAAAATTGTAGGAGGGAGTATGTAAAAAAATAATTTAGTTTTGTCACTTAAAAGTAATATTGCGGCTTAATTACCCCAAACTGTAGTTTTTCTTTCGTGAAAATAGAAAAGTGATTCGTTTTTCCACTTAAAGATGTACTATGAGTTGATTCTTCAAAATGTAAGGTGGTTTTGTGTAAAAATATTGACGATGATCTAGTAGATGCAATGTGTATTTTATTATTGGATATAGATAGGGGTGTCGGTTAACCTGAGCATTTTAGCCTGGTTTGAGATACCAGACGGTTAGGCATGTTTGATCGGTCAATGATCAGGCCGTCCGCTCGGACGTTTGAAGGAAATTTGAGACGCCCGAGTATATACAAGGTATTGAAAATGTATAGGGTATTAAAAACGCTTCATATGTTAGTATACATGAACACTACAATTGCAATGCATGAACTATACCTGGCCATGGGAAACTCGCCACGGCCAGCCCGGCCCGACCCGACGTTGCTCTCGGGCCGGGCCCGGGCCCGTCGATTTTGCACTTTTCTGAAGGTCGGGCCGGGCCGGCCTGGAACCCGACGGGCTTTTACATGTTTGGGCCGGGCCAGGCCGGGCCTGGGCCTGGGTTTTCTGCGTCAGGTTTGGCTAGGCCCGGCCCGAGATATGGCCAGGTATAGCATGAACTAACTTTAAATTATTGATGAACTTTTTAAATAAATGAACACCCTTTTAAAACCCCCGATTTTTTCTTTCTAGAAAACTTTTTCATAGTACATGACTAGTTTAAAATGGACGGACACCTTTTCAATTCCGTGAACATTCTTTCGAGAAAATGTGTGAACACGTTCTAAAGTACATGAACATCCTTTTTATAAATGTGAGAACAATTTTGAACTTATTACATTGTTTTGAAATGTGTTAAAAAATTCATAAGGCGCAAACAAACAAAAAAGAAACTGGAATCCTCGCAAAAAAAGAAGAAAAAAGAAACGAAACTGAAGGAAAAAACGAGCGAAAGAAGGAAACCAGGGAATTCGAGAGCGTCTCGGTTTGGGTTTGGGCGAAATATACACACGTCTTCCCTCGCAAACCCCTGTCGCCACACGGATAGGCACCGCCGCCCCCTCTACTCCTCTCTCCCGCCGCCGCGCCGCCCCGTCGAGCCCCAACGCCGCCTCCTCCCTGCCCCGTAGACCCCCACGCCGCTGCGGACCTCCCCTCGGTCGCCGGCGGCGAGAAGGTCCTCTAGTCTCCGCCTCAACCCCTGGCAGGCCCTCTCCCTCCCATCCGGCCGGCCCTCTCCTCACTCCCTCCCCTTCC